GATACCCATTGCCATGGTATTCTGATCACCGTTGAAATGGTATTCTGATACCCATTGCAATGGTATTCTGATAACCATTGCAATGGTATTCTGATACTCGTTGCAATGGTCTTCTGATAACCATTGCAATGGTATTCTGATACTCGTTGCAATGGTATTCTGAAAACCAATGCAATGGTATTCTGATACTCATTGCAATGGTATTCTGATAACCGTTGCAATGGTATTCTGATAACCATCGCAATGGTATTCTGATACTCGTTGCAATGGTATTCTGATCACCATTACAATGGTATTCTGATACCCATTGCAATGGTATTCTGATCACCGTTGCATTGGTTATCAGAATACCATTGTAACTGTTATCAGAATATCATTGCAATGGTTATCAGAATACCATTGCATTGGTTGAATACCATTGTAACTGTTATCAGAATACCATTGCAACGAGTATCAGAATAACATTGCAATGGTTATCAGAATACAATTGCAACGGTGATCAGAATACCATTTCAATGGTTATCAGAATACCATTGTAACGGGTATCAGAATACCATTGCAATGAGTATCAGAATACCATTGCATTGGTTATCAGAATACCATTGTAACGGGTATCAGAATACCATTGCAACAGGTACCAGAATACCATTGCAACAGGTATCAGAATCCCATTGCAACGGGTATCAGAATAACATTGCAACGGGTATCAGAATACCACTGCAACAGGTATCAGAATACCATTGTAACTGTTATCAGAATAACATGGCAACTGGTATCAGAATAACATTGCAACAGTTATCAGAATACCATTGCAACAGGTACCAGAATACCATTGCAACAGGTATCAGAATACCATTGTAACAGTTACAATGGTATTCTGATACCCATTGCAATGGTATTCTGATCACCGTTGCAATGGTATTCTGATAACCAGTGCAATGTTATTCTGATAACCGTTGCGATGGTATTCTGATACCCGTTGCAATGGTATTCCGATAACCATTGCAATGGTATTCTGATCACCGTTGCAATTGTATTCTGATAACCATTGCAATGGAATTCTGATAACCATTGCAATGGTATTCTGATCACCGTTGCAATGGTATTCTGATACCTGTTGAAATGGTATTCTGATACCCGTTGCAATGATATTCTGATAACAGTTACAATGGTATTCTGATAACAGTTACAATGGTATTCAACCAATGCAATGGTATTCTGATAACCGTTGTAATGGACTTCTGATAACCATTGCAATGGTCTTCTGATCCTCGTTGCAATGGTATTCTGAAAACCAATGCTATGGTATTCTGATACTCATTGCAATGGTATGCTGATAACCGTTGCAATGGTATTCTGATCACCGTTGCACTGGTATTCTGATAACCATTGCAATGATATTCTGATAACAGTTACAATGGTATTCAACCAATGCAATGGTATTCTGATACTCATTGCAATGGTATGCTGATAACCGTTGCAATGGTATTCTGATCACCGTTGCATTGGTTATCAGAATACCATTGCAACGGGGTCTTCTGATAACCATTGCAATGGTATTCTGATACCTGTTGCAATGGTATTCTGATAACTGTTGCAATGTTATTCTGATACCCGTTGCAATGTTATTCTGATAACAGTTACAATGGTATTCTGATAACAGTTACAATGGTATTCTGATACCTGTTGCAATGATATTCTGATAACAGTTACAATGGTATTCTGATACCCGTTGCAATGGTATTCTGATCACCGTTGCAATGGTATTCTGATACCCGTTGCAATGGTATTCTGATAACCAATGCAATGGTATTCTGATAACCGTTGCAATGGTATTCTGATAACCGTTGCAATGGTATTCTGATCACCGTTGCAATGGTATTCTGATACCCGTTGCAATGTTATTCTGATACCCGTTGCAATGGTATTCTGATACCTGTTGCAATGGTATTCTGATACCCGTTGCAATGTTATTCTGATACCCGTTGCAATGATATTCTGATAACAGTTACAATGGTATTCTGATAACTGTTGCAATGGTATTCTGATACCCGTTGCAATGGTATTCTGATCACCGTTGCAATGGTATTCTGATACCCGTTGCAATGTTTTTTTGGTCCCCGTTGCAATGATATTCTGATAACAGTTACAATGGTATTCTGATACCTGTTGCAATGGTATTCTGATACCCGTTGCAATGTTTTTTTGGTCCCCGTTGCAATGATATTCTGATAACAGTTACAATGGTATTCTGATAACAGTTACAATGGTATTCTGATACCCGTTGCAATGTTTTTTTGGTCCCCGTTGCAATGATATTCTGATAACAGTTACAATGGTATTCTGATACCCGTTGCAATGGTATTCTGATCACCGTTGCAATGGTATTCTGATAACCATTGCAATGGTATTCTGATACCCGAAGTAGCTTTGCTAAGGAAGTGTGTGTGTACATAATATGAAATTTAGCAATTATAAAAGACGAGTATCATACCTTTCCATTGGTGTATAGAGCCTGATTGTATATATATATATCTGTATGCGATTTCGGATTCACACGAAATTACTGAAATGAATTTGCCCCCAATAAAACATCAATTAAAATATTTTGCTGACCCCATTAGAATTTGTTTAAAACAGACCTATATTTTTGTTTGCCTTAATTCTTAATGCATCAATTCATTCATAAAAAACATGTCTTAAATATACCCATGTACCCATGTACCCAATAGCTGATGACAGAAAACGACAACCTACAGGAAATGTGAATTTTTTAAATTCACATAATTTTTTTCACCAATCTGATTAAAACCATATCTTGATCTACGATCACTCCGTACATTCTATGATCTGCTACGTCAGAGTGAACGGGGGCAAAGATCAAGATATTTGGTTTTAATCAGATTGATCTGTAGGCAAAGGGGACTAAATTTTGTATAAATGGAGAGCGTGGCCCTGTTAGTGCAGAGGGAGGGGCCCAATATTGTAAATAAAGGAAACTCTTTTTTTTAAAAATCTTTCTCCTTCGATACAAATGTAGGGACTTTAATTAATTTTGGTCAAAAGAATATGCAAACAAAGACAACTTAATTTTGTATTAATAGAGGAGGTGAGGGGTATGGTCTAATAGGGGAAATAGAGGTCAATCAATAAAATCCTTCAATTTCCATGCAAATTGAAGGATTTTATCCCTACCCTATATCCAAATATACAATTGCTAGGCATGACGAGAAGAAAACATTCAGGCTACCATGATTGGCCCCTGGACACTTCCTCCCTGCTTTATAACATTGAAACAGTTGAGATCTCCAAGCCATAACCATTTACAAAATTGCTAGACAGAAAGTGCCAAAACAGATTTACATGAAGTCCTTCTTGCAACTTGTATTTCTTGTACCCTTTTGATAAACTGGCATGGTGCTAAGTAGGTTTTAAATCTATGACTTTCCATTCCTGAGAAGGAGTTGAGCATATAAGGCCGCTGAACCTTGAAAGAAGGTCAAGGTAGGTTTTATCATAGTAGGTTATGGTGTCCTTCAATCCTGCAATAGTTACAGCAAAACCATTTAACACTGCAGACTTTAAATTCTGCAGAGGGCAGCAAGTAATTTTGTATTGAATTTTTATGGATTAAAGTTACAGGAACTTACATCAACAAAAACCTTTGATATATTTATGGGGTATGAAGACTAAATTGTCAGGAAAATGGCTCTCAAATAAGATAACTTTTTGTCAACAGAGGAAGTAGGGCACTTTACAGATACTGACTACAAACCACTAAAGAGTGTTGTTTAATTGTTATTGTCTCAAAAGCAAAGTATTGTGAGAAATAAATAATCAAGACTACATGTACTTTGGTATACAAATTGTACAATGGAACAGTATTTCTCGCCCCCTTCACAGGTGTATCTCCTGTTTTAGCCAGGAAAGTTTAGCTTGTCGCCTCCTAGGGGGGAGATAGCCTCGTGCTTATTAGCACATGTTTAATTGTGACGTCATTGAAATGTGTCACTGGCCGGTAATTGTGTCGTCATCAAAAGTGAATGACAATATTCATACCCACATGTGATCTACTGCCATTGGAGTTGTGACTGAAATAATAGGATGGGAGAAAAATAATCATCCCCTACCTTGTGGATGTGACAGAGAAATCTCCAACCCTTGGGGTTATTTTTTTGGTTGTCTAACCCTCGGCAGAGCCTCAGGTAAGACAACCAAAAAACATCACCCCTCAGGTGGGAGATTTCTCTGTCACACACTCAAGGTAGGGGAAGATTCTATAAGTAATCCAAGAGGTACAATATTTGCTAAATGTATCAAACAGTGTATATGATATGTACTCCAAAAGGAAAAAAAGTCTCATGCTGGGTGGCCAAAAGGCATGAGACTAGTATGCAACTATTTCTAAACATTTTCTTAGGTTGGTAAGTATGGATTACTTTTACACAACCAATAACATTTTCTATGTGACGTTTCGATGACTAGCATGATATGTACACTTTCACCTTCATCAGACAAACGACCAGTGAAGCGTATGCACACAAAGGCGTAAAATGTGTAAGAGTTGTCCACAAAATCTATGTCAATTTCGGCTACGCTGTAAGCGTATGTACAATAGTTGTTATATATGTACCAAAATGACTCGATTCAGCTACGCTGTTTAATACTTGGTCATAGATGTGAGAGAGTCTTTGAGCCCCCTCGTCTCAATTTAGAACTGGCCCACTGTGGCGTATCTAGATGGCTTCCTTTGTCTGCTACTTAAACAGCTTACTCTCTGTCCAAAACTTTACAGTTATCCGAGTCAATCACATGGTTTTTCTGTGTGGCGTGGTCTGTGATTGCCGATTTATTTATCTGGGACTCTGACTGCTTCCTTTCAGATCTGGTGAATTTCCTACCTTCTTGGGTTTCTGTATCTTTTCGGTGTTCACCAAGGCTGACCCCAAATCGCCTTCCAGTCTCTCCAATATACGACATGTCACAGGTTTTGCATCCGATTTTGTATACGCATTCTGCGACGTTTTCTTCAGGGGTTTTATCCTTAGGGTGTACTAGGATATTGCGAAGCGTCGATTGTACCTACGCTTACAGCATAGCTATCAACATCGATATTGTGGATACAGTGACATACAGGTGGACTGACTGATGGAGAGAGTACAAACACATAGCCCCTCTAGCTTTGATGGTACCATGGTGAATAATTACCAAGTTGTGAGAAAATCTTCATACTCCATGAACATTTGAAAATATCTTGTGAAATTCAGGTGATTTTCAATAAAAAAACTGCAAACATAAAATGTTATAAAAAGGGTATATAGCACCAAAATCAATAAATCTAGTCTGCAGTGTAAAATACTATATTGTTCTTATATATCCTTATCCCCTTGTAAACACAGTGTCAACAGTACTAGGCTCTACACCACAGTTTGGTCATTTCGTGATAAATTCACCAATGATAAAAGAGAGGATAGGCACTTAGTTGGTATTATGAAAAGTTCACAAATGTGAAAGTCTGTTTTTCATTGAGATCACTACTGTAACATAGAAAAGAGACAAAATCCTTTTTTTGAAATTCTATTATCACATATTTATCCTACAGTTCACACCTATGTCAGCTGTTGGTTTGATGTGTACAGTTTATTTTTTCTTGCTCTTTCTTTTTAAGTATTTTTTTGGAAAGAGGTTTGTTCCAAAGTCCATTCTCAATTTTATATTCCTTGCTTTGATGCTGAACAGCACCAAAATTCATCTGGAACTTGCACAGGGCATCTAGTGGTTTTGTCAACGTCTGAAAGACAACAAAGCTTCTGTTAATAAGTTATCATTAGGGTTGTCAACAGTTAACCAGTTACTTGGTCAAAAAAACATGAACCGGTTACTAGAATCAATAACTGAATAGTTGGCATTTATTTCCCCCCATGGGGAGCCCCTTATTCACCAGGCTTATAATAAATCTACCAATTATTTATTGATGAGACAAATTTTCAGTGTCTGTTCTGCTAGATCACAGAAATTACAATATAACATAAGAATTCAGTAGAGTCCCCCCCCCCCCCCCCAGGTGAAGGAGGATGGGGTGTACACCATACCCCACCCCCAACACTATGGTAGGGGCATACAAAAGTTGATGCCAGATGGTGAACAGCTGCAAACAGAGGAAAGGACAGCAGACACTCTACACTTTGGGATTTTCCCCCCTGATTTTATCCATTGATATACAATCTGTATTATCATGTTTCCATAGCATGCATTTGAAAAATATCAACAATTCTTAATTTCTTAATGCTTAAGCAACAAAATTCTGTTTAATTTATTCAGAAAGTCTATTTTAACCAAAATTAGTTTTAAAATTGATATGTCCAAGCAAATGATATGTTAATTCACAAACTGACGATGGTTACCTCAATTATTTCTGGACGATTCTCCAGGATGGATATAGCTACAGCAGCAGACTCGAGTGTAGAGAGGGAAGAGTCGGTGGGCTGTGTCCGAATCACATACTTACTGACAGGGTTGTCATTTATTTGCACCTGACAATTAAAACAAACTTCAATAGAAATTGTAGGTTAATAATGTGATGGCTTTTCACGATACTGTCAATAGGACATAAGTTAGACGTAGGACCTGATTAGGCTTCATGATTATGACATTTTATAGTCTTGGCCTGTTGGAACTTAAATTCTAATAAAATTTGCTAAATTGATATAATATGGTTTGATTCCATTATTCATTTTAAATCCTGTGACCTTGATGATAGGTTAAGGTAATGGAAATAATTTTTGGAATTTAACCTTCACAAAATCCATTAAAATGAACTTAAACACTGACAGGTCAGCAAGTGCCCACTTTACTACCATCACCCCAATGGTCTGTTTACAGTAACAGTAACCTCAACCTTGACCTTCAAATTTTTTCCCAATTGAACATCTACATATCACAGTGTATCACAATGTCCAATCTGAAAACATCCTACAGTCTTTTGGATGCTGAGATTAGGATTGTACCCCCATAGGCTATGTTTGATAACAGTGACCTTGACCATAAACACTTAAGAAACTTTTAAAATCCTTATTGCACATCTACATATCGCTATGTCAAATTTCCAAAAGATAAGAATTTTGGATTCTGAGATAGTAACCATACCCCCTACGGACAATTTTTAGAAACATTGACCTTGACTTTAGTAACTTTTTAACTCCTGTTACACATCTACATACAGTTATGCGACAGTACAACGCACCAAAAATAGTGTGTGCATCATCGTGCACACAGCGTCCGCACATTGTCCACACATGGTGAGCACACCTGGGCAATTAAACAATCGTTTGGTACAATTGGTTGATCAGTTTGCAGAATGAACAAAATCTGGAAGGCTCTTACAGAATAGGGAACACTGTGTATAAAGGATGAGTGTCTATGAGGCCTTTTTCTGGGCCCTGGTATATCCGAATTTTCTCCTCTCTAATTTGTTGAAAGGTGTCCTATTGTATTACATGCACAAAAAATAAGGCAAAAATTTGACCGAAAGTGGGTTTTTGGGCTACCAAAAGGGGTAGGGTAAATCACAGTAATTTGTTGTTTTCAAAATGAGCTAAAACAACAAAAATAGTACCATTTCTGTTTTTGATTACATATTAAGTTTTAATTATGATGGCATACATAAGAAAGATTAATTCATGGTTGTGTCAAATAATATTTTACGTACAACATTTGTCAGAATGAAAGTCTTATCACCTTTTTTAGGCAGGACAGGATGTTGTTAGCGCAGTAAATGTTCTTGGCCTGGGCCCACGTGCCGTCCAGCATCACAAGGTTAAAGCTGTGATAGTGATGAGGGAGGTCCTGGATGTCCATGGCATCCACACCCGGGTAAAGTAGGATGGTGTTCGGGGCTCTCAGAATCTCATTTACCTGGGGGTACCTGGAAAGCACAAACACTGATCCATTCAAGCAACTAGGTCTGTAATGATAAGTTGCAACTAAGCCAATGTTGTAATACTTAAGACCATGTCTCTGCAAAATATAAGGAGAAATGAGTTACAAGGGTGCATCCTGTTTCAGCTTCAAAAAGTAAAAAAAAATAGGGACAACAGTTGGATTGTTTCTTGATTATTAAAATCTTTCAAAAAAGTTTTGTAATATTGGTTTTGGTTTAATTTGTTCAGAGTCCTATTAACAGAGTCCTATTAAGAGGTAAGGTCATTTAGGGCTGTGCCTCCATGTGTGTTGTTGTTAATGTGGGTATGTGTGCTGGATATGATATCTTTGTGTAATTGCCTCCTGGCAGTAGTGCTTCCTCACTGAAATACCATGCCGAAGGCACCAAGCCTATAGTATTCCACCCGGTCACAGGTTAACTATAGTTGGTGCGATTTCCCTTAATGCTGAAAGGTAATAACTCTGTTATCTTAATAATGCTAATGGGAGTGGAGATACCAGCAATAAGAGCATCATTACATGACCTTAGCTGTTACACGACGTTAAACAAATAAACCCTTCGATAGGAGCAGTATAATGATGGATCTACATGCACATTGATGTTCACAGCTAAAATTTCATTAGCTTTTGATAATAATTTGTTGACAGAGGGACGGACATAAAGATACACAAATAAGACAATAAATGTTTTATCAATCATGTTAAAGTAATTGTGTACTGTTACCTTTGTTCTGAAAATCTTTTCCCAACAATTATGTGACATTTTCCTGGTGCAAGACCGTGGTACAACATGGGAGCTGTCTTTAGTCGTCTAGAAGTCTGAAAAAAAAGAAAAAAAAAGTATTATTAAGTGACATAAGACAAAGTTGGTATAACAAGACATGACAAGAGCCACATGGGCTTTAACACTCACCTGAGTTGTTATACTACTGTTATTTGTTGTTGTGATGTGAAAGATAGTACATGACATTTAGACGGCCTAAAGGTCACCTGAGTTGCGATGTAGTTGTTTTTCGTTGCTGTGGTGTGAAGTGGAAAATTCTAAGGCTAAACAAAATAAAAACATGTTTGTTGCCTGTTATATGTCTAAAAAAAATAAGGTAGGTAATATATTTTATTTTTTCAATTTCCTTGTAACCTTTATATAGGGGAGTGATCTAGGGGACTATCAGTGCTTCCTTGAAAAATATGCCAAAACATGTTTTGGGTAAGCACAAACTATGATAGGCAGGTTGGGTAACTGAAAACAACATTTTTTATATGGCATAACCAAATATGAGATCCAAAAATTCAATATGGCCGCCTGTCAGCAATCTTGGTTTACCAATCAGTCCGAAAATTCAATATGCATAACTAAGGATTATGAAAAACCTTTGAAGAAGATAACCCAAGTGCTTTTTGAGAAATTGCATGGAGAACCTACATGGGAAAATTGAGAAAGACTCATCCAGTGCTCTCAGAGAAATGGCACTAACAAACTTAAACTCTCAAAAGTCAAGATTGCCACCTTCCAATCATGTTTATTCTAACCAAATTTGAATTGTTTCCTGCTAAAAATGAACAAATTTTAAAACACAACCAAAAGTGTTACTTCCTTACAATTTATATAGAAACTATAGGAAAGTTTACCCCCTCCCCAGGAACGAAAAAAATGAATCGGGGGTAAGGAAGTCCTGTATAAGTGTTTGATATATTTGACCTGTGACCTTGAAAGAAGGTCAAGGACATTTTCATTCTGAAATTTTGTAGTGCTCAATCCCAAAAAGCTACCAGCCAAATATTAAGATTTGATACCTTTCAGTTCTTCATAAGAAGTCGTTTTAAGTGTTTTACACATTTGATCCCTGTGACCTTGAAAGTAGGTCAAGGTCATTTTCATTATCAGTCTTTGTTGGGCTCTTACCAACAAAGCTTTCACACTAATATCATGACTCTAGGCCTGTCCATTCTTCAGAAGTTTTGTTCAAAGAAATGTTGATGGATTCAAACAGACGGACACCAGACGCTGCACCATGGCATAAGCTCACTAGCCCTTTGGGCAGGTGAGCTAAAAATTGACAACATATACCAAAAGTGATATTTCCTGATATAAACTATAGTTAACTTTTATTCCTCTCCAAGAGCAAACAGATGGCCCAAGGGTAATGAGATTTACTGTTTTGATAAGCACATATAAACTTCCAGTCTATGAAGAGTGTTTAATTCTATAGTACATTTGAGACTTGGAGAATTTTTTTAAAATATTGTTATTATTAAATATTGGTTACATTTCTGTTTGTAGCCCCACAATGGTCTTTGAATTATAAGGACAAGAACCCAAATGTCACACTTTGATATCCTCTTCCACCTGGGATGATTCTTACCTGAAGTCTGAAAGAAATCCATTCTTAAGAAGTAAAAAAAAATAAAGCTTAAGGACATTGCATGATGACTGATGCCAATTTTTGGAATGGAAATAAATGTTACCCCTTTTATAAAGGGGAAAAGGTGACATCTTCCTACGAAAATTTATTGTTTTGCTAAAGCACCTTAGACCTATCCATCTATGAAGAGTATTTTAGTCTAGCATTCAAGAGTCTGAAGAAGAAGAATATTGAAATTTTAGACTGAATTTGACCTTTTTGGGCCCAACCCATCAGGCCCTAAGTGTAACCCAGAAGGTCTTAATTATCATGCCATTAAACTTCAATCACAATATAATTCCCTACTGGAAAAAAAGGAACCACATTAAGTGAAGCATTATATGCCTATAACGAATTGGTGGAATGTATGTAGTTTATAATTCAGGAAGGGGAATGCATATGTGTGCAATGTAGAAACCTGCACATGTGTAGTTTACTCTGGAGGTTGTCGTCTTCCTGTGGGTCTAGTTGCCCACACACAATACATACAAATATAGCAACATTTGGGTGAAAACAAAGCGCTCACAAGGAACTGTGATGTAAAGGAGAAAAGTTATATCGGTAAGTGCCAAAACTCTTGTAACAATTGTCATTTTATCCAAAACAAATCTTCATTTCTGAGAAAAAAAATATTACCTCATATGGATGTTGCAGAATGTAGACATTTGTTTTCACCTCCAGTGGATCTTTAGGTAAATAAGGACACCAACATACACTTAATGGACGACTGAAATGTACAGTTAAAAATAACAGAATGATAACAATATACACCACAGTTTGGTAAACTTACACTGACAGCAAAAACAAGAGGGTCAATGGGCCTGTATCGCTCACCTGATATTAATATCTCACCAGTATACATACTGTTACATATATAGTCATATGAATAATATATCCTCTGATGTCGCTTACTTTATCGATTAATTTTTAAGATATAGTCAGAGGACACTTCTTGATCTGTAGAGTTCTATACACACATGTGTGCAATGCCACTGATGGTAAAAAAATCAATTCATCATTACTTGGTAAGTTTCCAAAATATCAAATTGAAATTTGGTTTAAAGGTGTATTATAGTCATACAGTATGAACAACATATATCTTCTGATGTCGCTTATGCTTGAAGACACTTGTTGTTGTTTGAAGATGCTTTCTAGTAGTCAGATCTAGAGCTAATGTTTTACTGTTGCACACTTACCCGACTTTAAATAAAGATTATGGTATTGTATTGTGTGGTGGCCCAGTAGTACAGACCTCAATCAGATGGGTTTGCAAACTGTTTTATTCGTACATTAAAATTAAATACTTTCCATCAGGCCATGTTTGTACATTGTGTCGTCTAGTCATAGGTTTTCGCGTTATATATTCATATTTCATTTCATCCATTCATTCTTTTTCATCCATTCAGCCATTTCATCAAGCTATATCTAGTTACTATATGTGACCTGCTGGACACCACATGAGGATATTTTAGACATTTGCCCATCATCAGTAATATAAACCGTCACAAATGATGACACAAACATTGATGAAGATGCTGTCAAAGTCACTGGACCATAAAATATTGGGCACATTCAGCATAGGATGCTTGGTTTGAGATACACTACATCTGAAACAACTACAGTCCAACACTTTAATTTTTTGACATACAGCATAAAACACACAGCTAAACTTAAAATCATAACATTGATGAAGATGCTGATCATGTCAAGTCACTGGACCGCGAAATGTAAGGCACATTCAGTAAATGATGAATGGATTGAGATGTACAATGTAGTATATAAGACGCATGTATGGTATAAGTTTTGTTGGTCTAGCAAATGAGGTCACAACTCCTAGCCAAATTTTTTCCAACCCCGAAGAGCGAAGGAGACATTCTTATACATCATGGTATATCGATAAACACTGTTTGCAATGAAATGTAAACCTTATAATTATTATGCATTGAACTTCCAATTTTCACCAATTTTAAACAGAATAAAATGAAACTTACCATCAACCAAAGCTGGTGATAATAAGACTACACAAACAAAAATAATAACAGACTCTTGAGCTAAAAACATTTTTTTTATGAAATTATATGAATATAAAATGATAAACTATATGCTCAAGTTGCATTTGACATATTGAAAAATCAATAAAAAATGTGACATTTAAAAAAAAATGCTTTGATATTTTAGTTTGACAATCAAAGATCATATTTTTAATACCTTCAGCGAAGCTTTTGTTCTTGCGGGCCACTGTTGGGAATTTCTTTTTAGTGTATACAATTTATCTTTCTTTGAACACTTAATTAATCAAAATAGACACACGGAAACATATGACGGCTACTTTTGACCGGAGAAATTTGTCCAAAAATGTTTGTTCCTATTTCTTTTTGATACATTTTTTTTATGTTGCTAGTTTTTTGTTTCCATTAGTAGATTATGTATCAGAGTATATACGTACATGTCTATGACAGTCAACAGTAATTTCAAGTTTTCTAACGATATGAGTACAAAATCGCGGCTGGTTCATAATTGTGTGCGGAAACCCATAACACAAGGATATACATTATATGTGGATATATCAGATTGGGAGGATCAGCTACCATACCTGACGATAGTCTTTAAGAGTTACTGAGCATAAGAGTACCAAATGTAGTCCTAATTTAATGGCGTACATTGACATGATCAGGTTGGGGAAAACCACCAACTTGCGTATAATACGCAAACTCGCCTATTATACGCCAGTTGGAGTATGGATTTGTTACTAAAAATAACCCAAATCGCTTTAAGAGTAACTTTTGCAAGATATTATTAAAAATCACATTAATTTACGACAAGGTAAATCATATTTTGCTACAAGATGTTTACTGAAAGCGTTGGTCACTTAGAAACTTGATGTATTTTTACCGGAAATATTGCATCTATTTTTGGTACTTTCCCACATGCAAATACAGTTTATTTTTGCATTTGTAATATGTTTCATGACTGAATAAATGCGACCTGGACAAACAATTTGAAAAAGTTAAGATTAAAGTGATTTTTTTGGCTATTTTTAGTAACAAATCCATATCCCAATTGGCCTATAATATTACACGCAAGTTAGTGGTTTTCCCGACCTGATGATTACTCAAACAGTGCTAGAGGTTTACAAGGCGAAATACTTTTGACAGACGCCGCGTAACGATCGGCAAAATCATATCCGATTGAAAAAGGCCGACCAGCGGCCTCTTATGTTATAGGAGTAGATCATGATCAGGGCATGAGTAAACTCGGGCTAACCTAGCTGCGATAACGTAGCTCTGGACGACGGACGGGCGATTTCTGATAGATGGTCGTCGTCAGAGCGGAGAGTAGGCAGGGTACATGCATATTCGTTCTAGGCCATATATTACAATAGTTGTACAATAGAAATACCACGCTCATAGACAGATTACCTGCATACACCACCTTACCTGCATCTGGAGCACATGGATCTCCTCTCTGGTTCGACGACTTCGACTAAATCCTCTGCTTCAACGAAATAATTACAAAACTCAAGTAGGTCGGTCTGACCATCTTCAGCGGAAGCCATCTTAATCTCTGTATCACTTAGGCGCTTGTAAGATGTCGGCTCGTTCGCGCTAGGCTGTTTCGCCCTAAGCTTAAAGGTTGATTTAGAGCGGCGCGTCTAATTACCCAATACTACCCAATACTACCCAATACCACCCAATACTACCCAATACTACCCAATACCACCCAATACTACCCAATACTACCCCATACGACCCACGTATGTACCAAATACTTCATTATTACTGTGAAATATCAACTTTGTAGACGTAATTTACTCCATCTGCCATAAATTATCGGGAAATATATGATTTTGTGCCGAAATCATCGCCGAATTGCCGTGATTTTGACCCAATACTACCCAATACTACCCAATACTACCCAATACCACCCAATACCTACCCAATACGTACCCAATACTACTTTGATATGACGAAATATCCAATATAACACAGTAATTTTTTTCCATGTATTGTATTTTTATCCAAAAACATGAATTTGGTGCTAAATACGTCACTAAGTTACCGCAAGTACGGTCCAATATGACCAATTACGGTCTGATATTGCCACATATGACCAAATACTACCCAATACTTCCTTTTACGACCAAGTACTACCCAACACAAACATCTTTTGTAACTATTCCTCAATTTTCATCTTTTTAACACTAATATAATGGGCCTAGCCTGTTTTTTCGTGTTCATTAGTGTCACGGACCGGTAGTTGTAAATCGGTTGTGTCATGTTTTTCGAGTTATTTCCCTTTATACATTATATTTTCCGTTAACCGTTTTATAGGTCTACGTGTTGAAAGAATTATTGAAACGATTGTTATTATTAATGGATATAATTTCTATAGAATTAACCTTACCTATAAATTGTCCAATACTATTTCCTAGTTACTTCTCCTGAATATTCCGCCCAAACACGACATTTGCGTGACTCTTTTTCAACAAACATAAAATATACATATAGATATATATTATATATAATTTAATTCTGGAATAAAAACATACAACTTTCAAATCTACCGCTAGGCCTTCCTGCTTTCTAGGTTTTCTTCAGGCTAATTTAATTATTTATACTATAGCGTAGCATACATGTATACTTATACTCTAAAATTCCAAGACGATTTTTTCAATCTTAATTTTTTCAATCTTGTTTTTTTCTTCGCTTTTTTATGATTAATATGAACCGTCCGTTTGAATCAAAAAAATAGGGAAAGGAAAATTAGAAAAAAATGTTTGAGTGTCCAGAACACCAGAGATTGCTTATAGGTCCTGTTACAACTTATTCCTGCTATGTAAGCGAAATTAATTTGCGACACCACTGTTATCTAATTTATATCTTTGGTTAATTTAGGTTACTTCATTTACCTCATAGATCTTTAATGCTTACTCGGATATTTAAATTAATTTTAAAGCGTAGTTTTCGAGCGTCATAGGACGTTTTTGGGAAATTTGGGTGGCCCTAAAAAGGGCCATTTTGTATTGCAGCATCCTTTAGCTGCTCCAGATACATCGACGGATCCTGGAGGCGTACTTCTTCATCCCGGTGTTGGTCGATGCTGTTTCCCTCGTCCTCAAATGCACCAAGTCTGGAAGGTAGTCGACGGGGTACCTCATGTCCCGGAACTGAACGAAATTGCTGCCATACTTCTTGAACAGCAGGGTGTTAATCTTCAGCCGCTGTTTTTCAAAGACGTCCTTCGTCAGTCCTGGAGCCCTAAACGACCCTCTGGTCAGGATTTCCGCTACCCATACTTTGGTGATGCCGGAACCGTGCATGGTCTCCACTAGCGAGACGATTCTGTTGAAGATCGCACGCGGTCTGGAGTCTGCTTCAATGTCATTGCCTCCGACGTGGATGAATGCGACGTCTGCCCCTGCTTCCAATGCCTTCTGCAATGTCGGTTGGTGCATCCTGTCGGTACGGAGTCCTCCTCGGCCGCAGAATGTCGTAGTGCCAGGCGTGCCCAAGTCCCCATCGCATGATCTTCTTAGTCTCTCCACGTAGCTGCTTCCGAATAGAACTGTAGACTTCATTTCTTCTTGTTTCTTCTGATTAATGTGAATGAAATTACCTAGCTACATTCTATTTATATATATCATGAAAGTCATAACCACGCCCATATCTTCATATCAATTATTCTAATGCAGGCACGTGAATGATATGGCGACGCCCCCTTCCCTCCCCCAGTTTTGATTAGCTAGTCATATATCTAACGAAGGTAGAAGAAAAAGACAATAAAAATAAAAACAAATACAAATATTTAGTAGCACAGTTAACCTTTTTTTTCTATGCTATGATTATTTTATCTGATTTTTGTGAATGTCTTCTCTTTATTTTGCGGGTTTTGATGCATACTAACGAAAATGTGCTTCGTACAGGACATTACATTACATTTTCCTGAAGATGTGTGGGAATGGTTTAATTTTTTATGCGTTCTAATATTTTAATTGAAAAAAGTGAATACAGTTTAACGTAGCGCTACTATTATAGGCTAAAAATATTTGTATTAGAAATTACAGAATATATCAATTGATTTTGTTCAAGTGTCATGTCCAACACATAGTTACAAATGGTACATTACAATGATTAAATATCTATATAAAATGAGCCCGGCCCCGAATGGCTTGCTAGACTCGTTAAACGTATAATTCATTGCAGAATTATAACTCAGTAATATTTCTTTATTATCGCATTTCTCTCCTTTCCTTCATAAAATATAGTTAATATACATACTTAAATTGATCTGAGCTGCTATTAATATTAAAATCTTCACAAATTTTCAAGCTTTAGTTAAATTCTTCACAAATTTTTCAGCTTTAGATAAAATCACACCTCGAAGATCATTGTAGTATCTACAGTCCATTAAAAAAGGACATGAATTTTCAACACCATTTTTGCATTAATGACCTTCTCTTATATGGATAGGAGTTATAGGCCGAGTACATGTACTATTTTTCAATTTCATCTAATATTAAATTTAACTTTACATTTAAGATTTAATTCATTGGTGCGTACGCTAAATAGCTGTGATTTAGACTAAATGACAGCTATTAAATGTTATTTGCATATTAGAATACGGCAATGTGTCCTCATATCAGTTCTCAGGTCATTACATAGAATGGACGTTTTCAGATTCAGATTATTTTATTCGTTGTGTAAGACACATCTGAGAATAGACATACAAATAGTAAAGTATATTACAAATTTACAATGAAACATGTGTACAATGATAGTCGAATACAAGATGCATTTTGTAAATTGGCAAACGTGATGTATACAGTATATTCCAATGACATACTCATTTATCGTACAGCACGACACATTAAAACACGAACGACTTTCTAATTAATTATTCTTAATCTTACATAAAATGTGAAGCCAGCTTTTTAAAATGAGATTGTTACAAATCTTGCAAAATCAATCATTTAGCTCTGATTAAAGGAAAATTATTAACCATTTTTTTAAGACTTTATATTAACCGTTAAAAGTTAATAGGAAAATGTAAATTAGATTTATTTCGATAGATCCCCGATAGATGGGCAACCTTGTTTCGTGAAATGAATTTCACAGTAATTGACGTAAATGAAGTATAAAAGGGGTGAAAAAATCCACCTGAAAAGACAGATTGTACTGAAAAAAATATTGAATAAAAGCCATTGTGCTTAAACACCATGTTTTCAGATATACAAGTTAAATTGGCGGCTGTGATGTGCGAGGGTTAATTATTTTCATGACACCGACACTTGTTATTTAATTATTATTCAATTTTCAAAATTAAGATATTATGTTTTATTTCTAACCAGCTTCTAAATATGAGCCATACATGTCAAGGATATGTGACATGTTGACACGAACTAACGAATACACGATCGAATTTACTGGAAACACACTGACCAGACTATCGTCACCAAACACTCCTAGACCCGGTTCCCCTTTGTTGCGCAGCCGCAGCCCAAGTCTCCCGGCGTATCTTATGCGTGTTTCTCTGTAATATATTTCAGACAATGGTAATCTTCCTAATTCACAATTATTACATGTACGTTTCCTGATTCCGATTGAATTTTCCCAACTATACCGTTGTTATTAAAGAGCATACCTATATAATTAAACTGGTCGTCGTTTTAGAGCTCATTAATGAAATAAAACCATTTTTTGTTGTTTCTTATCCCACCACCATTCTTGAAAACTGCTATTTTCGTCTTGTTGGAATTGCGTTTGGACTTGTTATTATATGATTTCAGAGCTTCAATAATATATTGTAACTTGTCTGGCCTTTCTGCAAATAGCACAGTGTCGTCAGCGTGCATTAAAAGTTATTAGGAAAATGTAAATTAGATTTATTTCGAAAATGAAGTATAAAAGTGGGGGGAGGGGGGGGGGGAAATCCACCTCATTAACCGAAAATCATGTCGCATGATAGATCTAACACCTTTAAAAAATCCTAGACGTCAAAACTATAGTATACTGTTTCAGCATTGATATGTTTTCCAATAGCAACCAAACAATTAAAAGAAAACGTACGGTATTTGTTTCATAAAGCGGCCCTCATAACGTGTACATGAACATGCCAATATACCAGAATAATCGTTGTTGCGACACTTCTCTGATACAAGAAGCTTTGCATTTTTTTTCAGTTAAGTAAAAAGTTATATGTTTTCCTTTATAGTTTAAGTTTACCTTTGTCTTAATAAAACTTTATTTATTAAATAGCAATGATTTAAGCTACAATCTGATTGTTTTATGGCGATGATCTACTGTCGCAAAGTGTCTTGCCAGATACGTTACTAGTTACCAACCCCCATCCCCCACCAGAATTAGTGTTAACGTTTAATTATTTACAGCTTCATCACCCCGTCGGGTGCACGATATTGTGTAGATCTGTAATTATTATTTGTAATACACTATGTTTAAGTTTTTGTACTGGTAATTTCCATGAGGTTAGTTGAGCTGGTCTGCTTATTCTAGAATTAGTGTTAACGTTTAATTATTTACAGCTTCATCACCCCGTCGGGTGCACTATATTGTGTAGATC